TAATGCAGATGGAATTTGTCATGTATATGTCGACAAATCAGCTAATATTGATATGGCAAAACAGATTATTAGAGATGCAAAGACTGATTATCCTGCAGCCTGCAATGCAATGGTAACATTTGCACATCCTTTACAATTCACTAAGTAAAATATGTTCATATGTAACATTCCCCTCCTTTGGGGTTTTACTAAATCGGTATGTACGGTGTGATTGGAATTCATAGATTATGCTCATCAAAATGTATTACTGTTCTGGTATTCTTAGGAAACTCTTCTTGTACACAAGGATCTATCAAATAATGGTGCACTTAATGAGCTTGTCCTTGAACTCCAACGTGAAGGTATGACTTCAATTGCAAATGGATTTATGACAAACAACATTGATTTAACTTGAAGATTTTGTTTTATTTAGAATTTTAACAATTCCCTTCATGGGATGAGAAGAGATTTTGTTTTAGTTTTATAATACACACACACATACACGTATATGTTATCATTAGATCATATCATGATATACTTGTACAATGAATCAGAAGTAAAATGTGCATGTTAAGGGAAGAAAAAATAATCACAATGCAGAGAATGATATTAGTCTTGGGAATTCAAGTGCGTTCAAAAAAACAGAGAAATTGTTTGTTGAAACAGTTTTTTCAAAGAAAAATCATGTGTAATACATATTGTGGGTTATTTAAGTCTAGAAATAAAACTCTAGTAGAAAAAGCAACATGCAGCGTATTTTGTTGCACAATCAGAAAAGACTTGTTATGAACAAGGAGAAAATGTTTTGCAGGTGTTAAACTGTACGGTGGGCCAAGAGCTAGTGGCTTAATAAACATTGTTGGAACAAGCGATTTGCATCATGAGTATAGTTCACTTGCTTGCACAGTTGAAATTGTAGAAGATGTATTGGATGCCATTAACCACATACATGAACATGGAAGGTATGTTAGGATCCTCCAAATAATTTTCATTCCATTCTCTTGTCATCAGCACAATTGTGTTTAAAATTGTTCTTACTTTCTTTGTTGTTTATGCAGTGCTCATACTGAATGCATTGTTACAGAAGATTGTGAAGTTGCTGAGGCTTTCTTAAGTCAAGTTGACAGGTATGTCTACAAATTAATAATGTCTCTTTCCAATTGTTATTTACATTCTTCTAGCTCACAAGATTTGAGTTATTAAGTATGATTTAGCATTAGTTTATCTTTAACAAATTATACCATTTCATAAACATTACTTTCCCATTCCACCCAAACCAATCCATAGATCTAAAAGTCTGTGCAATCTGTAAATTTCATAGAATCATCTATTTTTGTGCACAAAAAATATTTTCTTTCATCTCACTTTCTTCATACATGGTGCCATGACAACTCTGATAACTTGACTATGAATAACTCTTGTTTCTTCCTCATACTTATTGTGGAACATATGGAAATTTACCTTGTCTACAAATAGTGCTGCTGTTTTCCACAATGCAAGTACACGATTTTGTGATGGAGCACGCTTTGGCCTTGGTGCAGAGGTAATGATCTTCTACAAAACTCATTGCTGTTAGTAACAGTAACTTTATTTTCTCATTTGATTCCATTAATTATTGATAGGTTGGAATTAGCACAAGTCGAATTCATGCACGAGGTCCTGTAGGAGTAGAGGGTTTGTTGACAAACAGATGGTATGCAATTCTGAGCTCTTTTCATTTTTAGTTTCAATGATGAAAATAGAAATAGGAAAGATTCAATTTAATTTTTTTTTTCTGTGGGTCTATTTTGGCAACTATTGTACTAAACATACATACTTCCCCCACCACCTTTGCAAATAAAGTGCCACGAATGATATAAAAAGGATGTTCAAGAAGCAACCAATTACTCTTAAACTTGCAATCAAACACCAATCTAGGCTTATAGTTAGATCATCCAACTTTTTTTGTTCCCATTTTCATATTTCATGGATATAATGCAGGATATTGAGAGGGAGTGGGCATGTGGTTAATGGAGATCAAGGAATCAATTACACTTACAAGGAATTGCCACTAGAAGCATAACTTTGTATTTAGAACTTAGTTCAGTTGCAAGCTAATATGCTCCTCAAGCAAGCAACATCTCTGTTTTGTGGTGTTATGATATGCAGAAGTGGCTGAGATGTTGGCCATGTATTGGTAACTATCACTTGATCCTTTTTCCAGGGCATTTTTCTTACCTGGAGCAAGTTCATGAGAGGAAATAATAATATGAATGTTTGTATTAAATTATATTGCTCTTTAGTGCTCTTTTATACTAGTGAACTTGAATAATTATGGAGAAGTTTTTATTATAGAAATTCTAATTTGTTTTATGTAGAATTGTTGTCAGTATACTGTTGATTATGCTAAATGTGGTTAATTCTTATATACATTTTTTGTGTTTAATTTATTTATTTATTATTTGGATTTATTTGGTTTCTTATGGTTAGTGAAACTAAATATTTGTATACTTTAGTACATCAATTAAGCATCTACATCAAGAAATGGTTAAGAGACATAAATAAAGGAAAAATAAGTACAATATGAGAAAATTAAATCAAGCTGTATGTAGTCACAAAACAAACAACCAAATTAAGAAAATATAAATTCTGGCATATCAAACCAATTCCTAGTTAATGTCTAACAGAACATTTATTGACTAGTTTGTCTGCATAGATGTTTTTTTTTTTCTCTAAGTATGTGAGTAATCTTAATGTGTACGTGTCTAATTCTTTTTAGACATCTTCATATGTTTTTTATTCTTCAAGGAATAATATTGTGATTCACAAAAACCTTGATTACTAATATATAGACTCAGTTTGCAACCAAAGATTTGACCATCTATATCCATTGTTAATAAAACACTGTTATTTAAATATGATATTATTTATTAGGGTCAAATTTACTAAAATATTTGTAATTATTCTCCTCTCTATAAATACATTATTACTAAGTATTTTAGCACAATAATATTAAGTAGGAAACAAAAAACAGAATAAAATCAATAATCTTTTTTAATACTTAAATGTCAATCAGTGTTAATTTTAGGCTTAATACCGGTCCCTATTTTTGTCTGTCAGTTAACGGCCATTGCTCCAACTGTGCAAAGCTTAAATGAGATGACATTTAACTTTTGTCACATCACCATTTTCTTCAACTTTCAGTCCAAACAGAAACTGAAACCCTACTTTCTCTCTAGTCACCTAACCCTAGCGCTGCCACCAAACCCTAACGCCACCGCCGCCGCAGAAATCATCCAAAGTCACCATGCCGCCGTGAAGCAGCGCCTGTAGAGAACCATGGCAGTCATCACGCGCAACCTCCATGTCGCACTACCCAGATCACCCAAATCACGAAACTTTCCTCAGGCTGCCGCACTACCCAGATCACCTTCGTGCCTCCACCATCACAGGATTTTCTCAAGCCGCAACTGCCAGCATCTCGTACCTGCAAATCAAACACAAGCACCCAAAAACAGAGAAAGCTGAATCGCACCACCCAAATCGCTAAGTCTTCACAGTCAATAATGCCGCAAGCCACCCTAATCTCGAACTCCATTTGAATCTTCATTCTCGCGCATCAGCCATGAATCATCCAAATCAAGAGCTTCATCGTCAGCGCGACAATCCTTGTCGCCGTCGTGTCTGGTATAGCGTTAAATGGTGAAAAACTAGTGTTGAACACTAGCCTCATTATGTAGGTCTGGGAGCATTTTATCTTCAAGCTATTGAGCGCAAGTTTGTACCGTTGAGAATCATATTTTACAAATACATTGTTGTTGGGCGGTAGTAGGTCATTATTGAGCGCAACTTTTGTGAGAATAATGGTGTTGAGTGCCAGAATTGTCGCTAAATGACACTTTTTGCTAAAGGTTTGGCACTGAGTGCCCCTTCTGAGTCTCAATTTGTATGTTGGATATACTTTTCTTCTTTAGTTATTTGAAATAGATTTGTGATGAAACTGATGTATGTTTATAATATTGTTTATGATTATTTGAGTTCATGATTATTGTTGTGGATATGTATATATGGTGATGGTGTTGAGAGAATTTCAAAGAAAAATTCTTTGTGATGATGATCTTATGTATGCGTTGACATTTTCCCAAATCACATAATTTCATTTGTTGGTGTTTGGTATAGCTTTGAATGGTGATAAATTGGTGTTGAGCACCAACCTCGTTGTGCAGGTATGAAACCATTTTAGCTACAAGCTACTGACTGCAAGTTTGTGTCATTGAGAATCGTATTTTGCAAATGTCTTAATTAATGTTAGGCAAAAATAGGTCATCATTGAGCGAACTTTTGTGAGAAGAATGACACTGAGTGCCAAAACTGTTGGTGAATTCCACTTTTTGCGAAAGGTTTTGACATTGTGTGCCACTTCTGAGTGCCAATTTGTATGTTAGATCTGGTTTTCTTCTTTGGTTGTTTGAAATAGATTTGTGATGAAAATAATGTATGTTTATAATATTGTTTATTATTAAGTTGATGATTATGGTTGTAGAGATGTATGATGATGGTGTTGAGAGAATTTCAACAAGAAATTATTTGTGGTGATGATCTTAATGCATGGATTGACATTTTAGGGGTTAGTAAGGAGGAATCATGAACTCTAATAACTATTTATATTCAAATGAAGGAGAATGAGTTATGTGATAAGAGTCGTAAGAGGTCTTAGCCATTGGAGAATTAGGTCCTAGGTGTGAAGGGGACTAACCTTATAAGTAGTAGGGTGATAACCCATTAGTTTATGACTCTGCATAACATAAATATTGTTACAAGTGCATGCCTACAATGAAGTCCAACGTTAAAGGCATGTATTCGGATAATTAAGACTAGTGACAACTATTTGTGTGTATTTATATGATTTATTGTATTTAATCCATGTTTAACATATTTTTTATATGATATAATTGTTTTAGAATAACCTTTTATAAAAACTAGTCTACCTTGTCGTGTCTTTTATGTTTTATTGTGTTTGTTTCTCTCTTTTACGAGTATCACTTCACGATATGAGAAAATAAGGGATTGATGTTGATATGTCTCTGGTGGAAGATGAAATACACAAGAAAACACTAGAAAGGAGTAAATAGTCTTTTAAAAACTTTTCACAAATGGCATCGATGGGTTTTCAAAAGACTAACAAACAATGATATGTTCAGACGAAGATTTATCAAAAAGGATTTATAAAAATGTTTTAAAGAAGGAAGACACTAAAGCACAACTTTTAAATTGATTCACTCAACCTAAACTACATTCATTTCCTCCATAAGAACTTTTAAGGGGTTTCTCGAATCTTATCAAAGATGACAACGACTTTAACCCACTCTTGGTTGCAAGTATTATTACTACTCCTAGTCCCTAGTCAATATGACTAGTCCAAGTATTATCAATCACTCTCGGTTCCCTAGTATAACCTGACTAGTACAATATTAATAAGAGTGTTTCAATACAAACACAATTAGTGTTTGATTACAAATACAGATTGAATAAACTCTCATGGAGAGGATTAATACAACAATTTGTGAACTCGTGAGGTTCTTTCTCGTATGTTGAAAAGCATTAGATGATATAAGCTCATGAAGTTCTTTCTCTCTTTTCTTCTCTTCTCTTCTCATCTTTTAAATGAGGATTAGGCATTGTAAGCTTGGTGATAAACTTTAGAGAAGATATTCATTAACAGCTCTTTGTTCTTCTCTTTCATATTCTCTTTTCTTCTTTTCTTTTCTTTTCTCCTTTCTTTTGTTCTTTTTCTTCTTCTCTTTTATTCTTCTCTTCCTTTCATTCTAGAAGCATCAAACGTTGTAGGCTTGGAGATAAAGTAAAAGGCTAGATGTGATGATAGTTTTTTCATCACATTTTGTCTTGCTTAAGCTTGCTTTCATCATTTCTCTTACAATGAAGAGCATTAGATGATATAAGCATTGAGATAAAGTAGATTTGATATTTAATGATCTTTATTGTGTATACTCTCTCTCTCTTTCTCTCTCTTTTGTCTCTTATTTTCTCTATTTTTCACCTCTTATTTCTTTTGCTTCAACTTCTCTTTAGATAACCTTCTTTATATAGTCTTTCTTGAGAGGTGACGGTTGGAAATTTAGTTAATTTTAAGATAAGCTTCATAGCCTTTTTCGATAGCTTGATCAGACTCGAGTCTACGTCAGTAGTGCTTTTTCATGTGTAGTCCTTCTGGGCTAAAGGATTTGAAGAGACATTCTTATTTCTCAATGTCTCTTTGTTTAGAGCTTTCAGATAAAGCTTGGTATTGTCATTTCCTTCGTAGATAAAGAGAATAAAGCATGCAAGCACAAANTGTGATCATCTTAAATTGCAAGTACTGTGTGCAGGATTCTTCTGGTATTTTCTGGGACAATGACAGTTTGGCTGGACTTTTAGCCTTAGAACTTAAAGCTGATCTCCTTGTTTTATTGAGTGATGTTGAGGGCCTTTACAGTGGTCCTCCAAGTGACCCAAACTCAAAGTTGATCCACACATATGTAAAGGAGAAACATCAAGGGGAAATTACTTTTGGAGACAAGTCAAGATTGGGCAGAGGGGGTATGACTGCTAAAGTTAATGCTGCAGTTTGTGCTGCTCATGCTGGTATCCCTGTCATTATAACTAGGTACCTTTCATTTTTGTTTAGTTCTTTTAGTCATATAGCAAAATACTTTTAGATAAACTGCTAAAGTAACCTACTTATGCTAAATTTTAAACCATGAATTCAACATCCAAAAAGAATGGTTTGAATTAGATTCTCTTGTGAAGTGGTTTGCAAATGATTCTTCCTTTTTCTTTGTTGTGAAGATGCATCAATTCATATGTTCCTTTGCCCCCTTTTGATATAACATCTAATTTATGGATATCATATGAGAAGACAAGGGAATGTAGATATATATTCCACTATGTTAGAGTATAAATTATATCCAATAGTCTTCATGAGCTTAAAATAAATAAAATGCCTGTTTCTATCATGCTATTTATGGCAGCTCGTGGATCATGTTAGAAAGAAAAAAATGGAGAAAAGGGTGAAAAGGATTCAAATTTTTTTTGAGAATAATTTGGAGGTAAAGCAGAATTGAAAGTATAGATTAGGATTTTGGATTTGACTAACTTCGTATTATATTTTAACTTCTCTTGAAGTGGCTATGCTACAAACAACATCATACGAGTACTTCAAGGGGAAAGAATAGGTACTGTCTTTCATAAAGATGCTCATTTATGGAGCAATATAAAGGACGAGAGTGCACGTGAAATGGCAGTTTCAGCACGTGAGAGTTCTAGAAGACTTCAGGTGAATACAGTAGCATGTTGAGTAATTCCTAAATTGGTCTTCCAATGATACCATATCAACATTTTATTCCATCTAATAAATTGTTGCTAAATTCTTTGAAGGACCAATTTAAGGCTTATTAAATAATAAACAGAAAAATTATCTGTCTTATATGATTACCTTACTTTCACCATTATAAATGTTTTACATAGTGATTTGTGCTACTATTTCTACCATATTGTCAATATAAACTCCGGACTATTTCTTCTATTATTGCTACTACTGCACTTATTACTTCTCAACTCAATGAATTGAATTAGGGTAGCTTTAGAATTATATTGATGTTTTTTGTATCAGATCCTCAAATCTGAAGAAAGGAGTAAAATATTATTGGCAATTGCTGATGCATTGGAGAAAAATGCAAGTGCAATAAGTCTTGAGAATGAAGCTGATGTTGCTGATGCGGTGGCCGCTGGATATGAAAATTCGTTGATATCACGTTTAACCCTGAAGCATGAGAAGGCATGAGAAGGATAAGATGCATGATTTTCTTTGTTCTAATTATGAAACACAGATCTCTCGTGCTCCAAAGCATCTCTTATGATTTTTTTTTTCTAAGTATGTTTTGATCTGACCTCTATCTTTGTACTTTACAGATCTCTAAGCTTGCAAAGTCTGTGCGAATGTTGGCATCTATGGAAGAACCAATTGGTCAAATTTTAAAAAGAACAGAGGTCAAAAATTATTTTTCTTTTACCCTCCAAATTCCGTTTTGCAGCCACCAATGAGTTATAGTGTATATTTCATATTTGTGACACCATGTTGAAATATGAAACTCATTTTACATGTTTTTAGTATTTGGTAAAGTAACAAATTCTAGAATGGATCATGGAATATATGTTCACTAGTCTTGATTTGATAACACATTATAACCATTTCTTTGACTGAAAAATGTACCATATGTTTTTAAATGTTCTAGTGTTCAAAACTCATTGTGACAAGAGGATTATTGTTCTCTTTTCTCAGATAGCAGATAAACTCATACTGGAGAAAATTTCATGTCCTTTGGGAGTCCTTCTGGTTATATTCGAGTCTCGACCTGATGCCCTTGTGCAGGTTATGTTAAGATTGTTATTCCTTCTTATCTTCCTTCCATCTTCAATAAATTATGTTGAAGGAGAAATGATCTGAACATGATTACAAATTATCAATTTAGTATAAGTTGATTGTTATTCACTATGACATGTAATGTTGATTTGTTCAATCTTTTGACTATAAGTATGCTCTTTTTGAAAGTTTAGTTTTGGATGTTGATCTTTTAGTGGTATGGCTAAATGGATTAACAGATAGCTGCATTGGCAATTAGAAGTGGGAATGGTTTACTGCTTAAAGGGGGAAAAGAAGCCCAACGATCAAATGCAATCTTACACAAGGTTTATACTGTTTATTGATTTTTGATTGAGACATTTCTTTGATAAGATTAATCTGGATCAAAATTGCTTGTTGTTTCTTTGTCATCATTTTAATCATGCATATGTTTCTATCTTTCATATTTTTGTTTACTGTAGGTCATTACTTCGGTGATTCCAAATACTGTAGGTGACAAACTTATTGGGCTTGTGAATTCAAGAGATGAAATTCCATACCTACTTAAGGTTGGATACTTCTACTAAATCCCTAAAAATATTATTTCTCTTCAAGGATTTGCCACTAACTATACTCTTCCTCAGCTTGATGATGTGATAGATCTTGTGGTCCCTAGAGGCAGTAATAAACTTGTTTCTCAAATCAAGGAGTCAACAAAAATTCCTGTTCTTGGACATGCTGGTAGTATTCTTGTATATAAGTTTCCTATTTCTTATATAAATCTTTTGTTGAATTTATTATTTTTGTAATGCAGATGGAATTTGTCATGTATATGTCGACAAATCAGCTAATATTGATATGGCAAAACAGATTATTAGAGATGCAAAGACTGATTATCCTGCAGCCTGCAATGCAATGGTAACATTTGCACATCCTTTACAATTCACTAAGTAAAATATGTTCATATGTAACATTCCCCTCCTTTGGGGTTTTACTAAATCGGTATGTACGGTGTGATTGGAATTCATAGATTATGCTCATCAAAATGTATTACTGTTCTGGTATTCTTAGGAAACTCTTCTTGTACACAAGGATCTATCAAATAATGGTGCACTTAATGAGCTTGTCCTTGAACTCCAACGTGAAGGTATGACTTCAATTGCAAATGGATTTATGACAAACAACATTGATTTAACTTGAAGATTTTGTTTTATTTAGAATTTTAACAATTCCCTTCATGGGATGAGAAGAGATTTTGTTTTAGTTTTATAATACACACACACATACACGTATATGTTATCATTAGATCATATCATGATATACTTGTACAATGAATCAGAAGTAAAATGTGCATGTTAAGGGAAGAAAAAATAATCACAATGCAGAGAATGATATTAGTCTTGGGAATTCAAGTGCGTTCAAAAAAACAGAGAAATTGTTTGTTGAAACAGTTTTTTCAAAGAAAAATCATGTGTAATACATATTGTGGGTTATTTAAGTCTAGAAATAAAACTCTAGTAGAAAAAGCAACATGCAGCGTATTTTGTTGCACAATCAGAAAAGACTTGTTATGAACAAGGAGAAAATGTTTTGCAGGTGTTAAACTGTACGGTGGGCCAAGAGCTAGTGGCTTAATAAACATTGTTGGAACAAGCGATTTGCATCATGAGTATAGTTCACTTGCTTGCACAGTTGAAATTGTAGAAGATGTATTGGATGCCATTAACCACATACATGAACATGGAAGGTATGTTAGGATCCTCCAAATAATTTTCATTCCATTCTCTTGTCATCAGCACAATTGTGTTTAAAATTGTTCTTACTTTCTTTGTTGTTTATGCAGTGCTCATACTGAATGCATTGTTACAGAAGATTGTGAAGTTGCTGAGGCTTTCTTAAGTCAAGTTGACAGGTATGTCTACAAATTAATAATGTCTCTTTCCAATTGTTATTTACATTCTTCTAGCTCACAAGATTTGAGTTATTAAGTATGATTTAGCATTAGTTTATCTTTAACAAATTATACCATTTCATAAACATTACTTTCCCATTCCACCCAAACCAATCCATAGATCTAAAAGTCTGTGCAATCTGTAAATTTCATAGAATCATCTATTTTTGTGCACAAAAAATATTTTCTTTCATCTCACTTTCTTCATACATGGTGCCATGACAACTCTGATAACTTGACTATGAATAACTCTTGTTTCTTCCTCATACTTATTGTGGAACATATGGAAATTTACCTTGTCTACAAATAGTGCTGCTGTTTTCCACAATGCAAGTACACGATTTTGTGATGGAGCACGCTTTGGCCTTGGTGCAGAGGTAATGATCTTCTACAAAACTCATTGCTGTTAGTAACAGTAACTTTATTTTCTCATTTGATTCCATTAATTATTGATAGGTTGGAATTAGCACAAGTCGAATTCATGCACGAGGTCCTGTAGGAGTAGAGGGTTTGTTGACAAACAGATGGTATGCAATTCTGAGCTCTTTTCATTTTTAGTTTCAATGATGAAAATAGAAATAGGAAAGATTCAATTTAATTTTTTTTTTCTGTGGGTCTATTTTGGCAACTATTGTACTAAACATACATACTTCCCCCACCACCTTTGCAAATAAAGTGCCACGAATGATATAAAAAGGATGTTCAAGAAGCAACCAATTACTCTTAAACTTGCAATCAAACACCAATCTAGGCTTATAGTTAGATCATCCAACTTTTTTTGTTCCCATTTTCATATTTCATGGATATAATGCAGGATATTGAGAGGGAGTGGGCATGTGGTTAATGGAGATCAAGGAATCAATTACACTTACAAGGAATTGCCACTAGAAGCATAACTTTGTATTTAGAACTTAGTTCAGTTGCAAGCTAATATGCTCCTCAAGCAAGCAACATCTCTGTTTTGTGGTGTTATGATATGCAGAAGTGGCTGAGATGTTGGCCATGTATTGGTAACTATCACTTGATCCTTTTTCCAGGGCATTTTTCTTACCTGGAGCAAGTTCATGAGAGGAAATAATAATATGAATGTTTGTATTAAATTATATTGCTCTTTAGTGCTCTTTTATACTAGTGAACTTGAATAATTATGGAGAAGTTTTTATTATAGAAATTCTAATTTGTTTTATGTAGAATTGTTGTCAGTATACTGTTGATTATGCTAAATGTGGTTAATTCTTATATACATTTTTTGTGTTTAATTTATTTATTTATTATTTGGATTTATTTGGTTTCTTATGGTTAGTGAAACTAAATATTTGTATACTTTAGTACATCAATTAAGCATCTACATCAAGAAATGGTTAAGAGACATAAATAAAGGAAAAATAAGTACAATATGAGAAAATTAAATCAAGCTGTATGTAGTCACAAAACAAACAACCAAATTAAGAAAATATAAATTCTGGCATATCAAACCAATTCCTAGTTAATGTCTAACAGAACATTTATTGACTAGTTTGTCTGCATAGATGTTTTTTTTTTTCTCTAAGTATGTGAGTAATCTTAATGTGTACGTGTCTAATTCTTTTTAGACATCTTCATATGTTTTTTATTCTTCAAGGAATAATATTGTGATTCACAAAAACCTTGATTACTAATATATAGACTCAGTTTGCAACCAAAGATTTGACCATCTATATCCATTGTTAATAAAACACTGTTATTTAAATATGATATTATTTATTAGGGTCAAATTTACTAAAATATTTGTAATTATTCTCCTCTCTATAAATACATTATTACTAAGTATTTTAGCACAATAATATTAAGTAGGAAACAAAAAACAGAATAAAATCAATAATCTTTTTTAATACTTAAATGTCAATCAGTGTTAATTTTAGGCTTAATACCGGTCCCTATTTTTGTCTGTCAGTTAACGGCCATTGCTCCAACTGTGCAAAGCTTAAATGAGATGACATTTAACTTTTGTCACATCACCATTTTCTTCAACTTTCAGTCCAAACAGAAACTGAAACCCTACTTTCTCTCTAGTCACCTAACCCTAGCGCTGCCACCAAACCCTAACGCCACCGCCGCCGCAGAAATCATCCAAAGTCACCATGCCGCCGTGAAGCAGCGCCTGTAGAGAACCATGGCAGTCATCACGCGCAACCTCCATGTCGCACTACCCAGATCACCCAAATCACGAAACTTTCCTCAGGCTGCCGCACTACCCAGATCACCTTCGTGCCTCCACCATCACAGGATTTTCTCAAGCCGCAACTGCCAGCATCTCGTACCTGCAAATCAAACACAAGCACCCAAAAACAGAGAAAGCTGAATCGCACCACCCAAATCGCTAAGTCTTCACAGTCAATAATGCCGCAAGCCACCCTAATCTCGAACTCCATTTGAATCTTCATTCTCGCGCATCAGCCATGAATCATCCAAATCAAGAGCTTCATCGTCAGCGCGACAATCCTTGTCGCCGTCGTGTCTGGTATAGCGTTAAATGGTGAAAAACTAGTGTTGAACACTAGCCTCATTATGTAGGTCTGGGAGCATTTTATCTTCAAGCTATTGAGCGCAAGTTTGTACCGTTGAGAATCATATTTTACAAATACATTGTTGTTGGGCGGTAGTAGGTCATTATTGAGCGCAACTTTTGTGAGAATAATGGTGTTGAGTGCCAGAATTGTCGCTAAATGACACTTTTTGCTAAAGGTTTGGCACTGAGTGCCCCTTCTGAGTCTCAATTTGTATGTTGGATATACTTTTCTTCTTTAGTTATTTGAAATAGATTTGTGATGAAACTGATGTATGTTTATAATATTGTTTATGATTATTTGAGTTCATGATTATTGTTGTGGATATGTATATATGGTGATGGTGTTGAGAGAATTTCAAAGAAAAATTCTTTGTGATGATGATCTTATGTATGCGTTGACATTTTCCCAAATCACATAATTTCATTTGTTGGTGTTTGGTATAGCTTTGAATGGTGATAAATTGGTGTTGAGCACCAACCTCGTTGTGCAGGTATGAAACCATTTTAGCTACAAGCTACTGACTGCAAGTTTGTGTCATTGAGAATCGTATTTTGCAAATGTCTTAATTAATGTTAGGCAAAAATAGGTCATCATTGAGCGAACTTTTGTGAGAAGAATGACACTGAGTGCCAAAACTGTTGGTGAATTCCACTTTTTGCGAAAGGTTTTGACATTGTGTGCCACTTCTGAGTGCCAATTTGTATGTTAGATCTGGTTTTCTTCTTTGGTTGTTTGAAATAGATTTGTGATGAAAATAATGTATGTTTATAATATTGTTTATTATTAAGTTGATGATTATGGTTGTAGAGATGTATGATGATGGTGTTGAGAGAATTTCAACAAGAAATTATTTGTGGTGATGATCTTAATGCATGGATTGACATTTTAGGGGTTAGTAAGGAGGAATCATGAACTCTAATAACTATTTATATTCAAATGAAGGAGAATGAGTTATGTGATAAGAGTCGTAAGAGGTCTTAGCCATTGGAGAATTAGGTCCTAGGTGTGAAGGGGACTAACCTTATAAGTAGTAGGGTGATAACCCATTAGTTTATGACTCTGCATAACATAAATATTGTTACAAGTGCATGCCTACAATGAAGTCCAACGTTAAAGGCATGTATTCGGATAATTGAGACTAGTGCCAACTATTTGTGTGTATTTATATGATTTATTGTATTTAATCCATGTTTAACATATTTTTTATATGATATAATTGTTTTAGAATAACCTTTTTTATAAACTAGTCTACCTTGTCGTGTCTTTTATGTTTTATTGTGTTTGTTTCTCTCTTTTACGAGTATCACTTCACGATATGAGAAAATAAGGGATTGATGTTGATATGTCTCTGGTGGAAGATGAAATACACAAGAAAACACTAGAAAGGAGTAAATAGTCTTTTAAAAACTTTTCACAAATGGCATCGATGGGTTTTCAAAAGACTAACAAACAATGATATGTTCAGACGAAGATTTATCAAAAAGGATTTATAAAAATGTTTTAAAGAAGGAAGACACTAAAGCACAACTTTTAAATTGATTCACTCAACCTAAACTACATTCATTTCCTCCATAAGAACTTTTAAGGGGTTTCTCGAATCTTATCAAAGATGACAACGACTTTAACCCACTCTTGGTTGCAAGTATTATTACTACTCCTAGTCCCTAGTCAATATGACTAGTCCAAGTATTATCAATCACTCTCGGTTCCCTAGTATAACCTGACTAGTACAATATTAATAAGAGTGTTTCAATACAAACACAATTAGTGTTTGATTACAAATACAGATTGAATAAACTCTCATGGAGAGGATTAATACAACAATTTGTGAACTCGTGAGGTTCTTTCTCGTATGTTGAAAAGCATTAGATGATATAAGCTCATGAAGTTCTTTCTCTCTTTTCTTCTCTTCTCTTCTCATCTTTTAAATGAGGATTAGGCATTGTAAGCTTGGTGATAAACTTTAGAGAAGATATTCATTAACAGCTCTTTGTTCTTCTCTTTCATATTCTCTTTTCTTCTTTTCTTTTCTTTTCTCCTTTCTTTTGTTCTTTTTCTTCTTCTCTTTTATTCTTCTCTTCCTTTCATTCTAGAAGCATCAAACGTTGTAGGCTTGGAGATAAAGTAAAAGGCTAGATGTGATGATAGTTTTTTCATCACATTTTGTCTTGCTTAAGCTTGCTTTCATCATTTCTCTTACAATGAAGAGCATTAGATGATATAAGCATTGAGATAAAGTAGATTTGATATTTAATGATCTTTATTGTGTATACTCTCTCTCTCTTTCTCTCTCTTTTGTCTCTTATTTTCTCTATTTTTCACCTCTTATTTCTTTTGCTTCAACTTCTCTTTAGATAACCTTCTTTATATAGTCTTTCTTGAGAGGTGACGGTTGGAAATTTAGTTAATTTTAAGATAAGCTTCATAGCCTTTTTCGATAGCTTGATCAGACTCGAGTCTACGTCAGTAGTGCTTTTTCATGTGTAGTCCTTCTGGGCTAAAGGATTTGAAGAGACATTCTTATTTCTCAATGTCTCTTTGTTTAGAGCTTTCAGATAAAGCTTGGTATTGTCATTTCCTTCGTAGATAAAGAGAATAAAGCATGCAAGCACAAAAGCACTTTTTCATATAGTATTAAATGTTTTATTCCTTAAGGATTGTAAAGTACACTATGTGTTCAAAGCATTCTTGCATATGTCAACTTCATTTAATTAATGCATCGTTCAATGGTAAAACATACAACATGTATAATCATTAGATGATATAAAACATTAGATACTTCTTCAAAGGCTATAGTATTTAGTGGTTATACATTAGACAATGTATTATTTAAAACGCTTTATCTTTTCATCATGCATATGTCATTTTAGTTCAGACGAAAAGATGTTTGGATACTCTGTTAGGAGTTTTCTATCGTTTAGCGCTAGTTTGATTAATATTTCTCTTGATTAGATGTTTATCTTCTATCCTTGCTTTCTTTTTAGACATTCTATTGATTAGACGTTTATATATGTTTTTCAATATCGTTTAACGTCTTTTGTTAGAACATACAATTGCAAGATGTATGTTTGATAAAACGTTGTTTAAGTAAAACATAATTTTAGCTTTAGAGAAACACTTCACTTTGTAAAACCCTTTTTGTAACGTGTTGACCTTTTAGAAGACACTTTTTTGTATAAGCAATATTATCTTGAGTGTTATTTGATAAGCCTTAAAATTTGGGTTGTTAAACATTCTGATTTTTTTCTCAACAGAAGACGGTGATGACACAAAGTAGTATACATTTTATTTTGAAGATAATTGTATTAATTGTATTAATTATATATATATATATATATATATATATATATATATATATATATATATATTGAGAAAGTTAAGTGAACTTTAAGTCTAATTCAACCCTAGAAAATAAGCTTGTAATGTGAGGTTTACACTTATTTGTATACTTTAAATTAGCCTTATCACTAGTAGATGTGAGATTTCCAACACACCTCCATCATGCTGAGATATATACACTCGAGCGTTGATGGGTGGTCAAATAGTGGCCCGATAGTGAAAAGAATGATATACCCAACGAATTTCGCTAGAATATGCTCTAACCTAACTTTAATACCATTTTAAGAAGTGAACTTTAAGTCTAACTCAACTCCAGAAAACATACTTGTATGGTGACGTTTGTACCCACTTATATACTTTAAATTACCTTATCTCTATTCGATGTGATACTTCCATTAGAGAAAATTTGTTGTGTTTTACCAATCTTATAATGTTTTACTTTATTTTTATAAGTTGTAAGCCGCTAAGAATAAAATAAGATGTTACAAATTTAATTTCAAATTATATTAAAAAATATCATAAATTATTTTTTATTTTATTTCTTTCGGTTGATATAATTAAAATTTGAACTCAATATTTTAATTAATTTCGTATACAAATTAATTACACATTTGATCTTTTGTCGAACGTAACTCTACTTCGTATACAAATATCACATGCATAAACTGTAACATAAATTTTCTGAATCAAGCATAAACCTAGAAACATGCTCTCTTTTTTTCTGAATCAAACATGAACTTAGAAACATGTTATGGAAAAGATAAAAAAGAAGAAATTGTGCATGGACATATAAGCTTTAAACATCCAATCGGAAATGGTTACATATAAGAAATTTATTGATTTAAAATGGCTTACAAGTCATAAATGTGATGGTTAATTCACTACACTGGTTATGACCATTAAAATCTTTCAGAAAATTGAATAGGTTAAGGATGCGTTTGAAGATGAGAAATAAAGACGAAGTCATTGATTGATTTAGCCATCATAAATGCGAGTTGATGTGTTCAACAGTACTGTTGTTGGGCTTAAAGGGCAATGGCGCTGATTTTCACACCAGAATGAAGTCTGTCTTTGCATCAACTCATGACACTTTATGATATCATCCTGCTAAAAAAGAGAAACACCTAAATGAAATAAGAATCTGCAATGTTAAAGATATAACCTTCCAAAATAGATTTAAAAGTGAGATTTACATTGAGTAAAATAGGTTTTAAATAACTTCAATATTCTATAAAAAAAACAAATTGAAGCATATATATATATATATATGAATCCCTGTTGATTATTACCTTCTGACTTTGGTTCAAGAGTCTCATAATATAAGCAATGTAAGTATCTGATGTTTGTGGTAATAAGTGTTGAAGAGTGCACCACAATGCAGATATGCCAAGAATGCTTGGCCTGAATTCCAGCATTTTCTGATCTGCAATACATATATGCAGTTTTTATTACTAGTTTGTAAAATGTTCACATCACTTTGTGGTGAATACAATGACTCAAGTTTTGAATTAATTTTCAACTATAGTTGGGTTGGTTGGTTTATAGTTAATTTAAATATAAAAAAACACTAAATAATCATATTAATCAATTATCAAAAGTTTTGTATTATGTTGTAATTGGTTCCATTTATTTTCAATCCTCAAAATTTTACATGAATTGTAAAATTGCAATCTTATTAATTATCAGCATTGCACCCATATCTTATCTGATTAAGTTCCAGTTACAATATATTTTCATATTAGTTGCGTGTATATATACATATATAAACTACAGTCTATATCATAAAACCATACCCATCTTTAATTTATTTTTTTTCTATTCTCCGCTCATGGCATTTTACTTAAAAAGTATACATAAGTGAACAAAATTAATGTGAAAAAAAAAACGAAACTAATTAAGGACCTTTTTTTATTTAGAGTATATATTTCAAGTATAATTTAAAAATTGAATACCTTACGTTTATCTTCAAGTGTTTATAAAAAACAGTGAAAATAACTTCATCTTATTTTCACTATTTTATAAAATTAACCTTAAAATAAAAAAAAAGAGTAAAAATATGATAGTTTTCACAGATACCTAAAGTAGCTTGGAGAAGGAGTTCAGTGGCAGGTGAAATAAGCTTCTGATAAAGATGAGATTCCAAGAAATCGTTATCCACAATTTCCACAAAAGAATAACTGGTCACAGAGTTAAGGTGCCACCCCAATGCCTTCAATAGGATCAACTCCATCTTCAAAATTACACTTGATTCGAATGAGTAATTCAAGCCCTCCACCTTCAACATAAAGCCACAAAGAAAATTATTCAAATAATAATTAATTTTAAAAAATAACAATAATTAGTATATTTTATGAATAAAAAATTATAATTAATTTATAAATTAGATTTTAGATATCTAATATTAACTATCACCATTTCCACGGTAAAAGAACTATAATTAATAAATTTTGAAAGCAACAACCTAAAATGATTGATGCAGTATGGCAATGGATCACCTGAATTTCATTCATGGAAAGTGCTGACTTCTCATTGAACTTTATGGCAACTGATAAGCAAGAAACAGAAAGCAATTCAAGCATCCAGTATTTCCAATCCTGTTACAAGTAATCAATTTTCATTAACTTTTCTCAGATATATTCAAATTCTGACAAAATCTTGCAGAAAAGTGATGAACACATATCATATAAGCTAGAAATCCTTACATTGCTTTGACAAATGGATACAAAGCGATCAAGATAATTAACAGCCAAGAAAACTGTTCCAAAAGAAAGATTAAAGTGACTTCCACACTGCATACACATGAAGGAAAAAAGTTAAAGACAATTGATAAGTAGTGATGTACTTTCACACTGTGTCCAACATAAATGGAAAGAGAAAAGTACAGAGTATAGCATAAGGATGTTTAATAGTCTCAGAAATCATTTCCATTTCCTACCTACACACAAATGATTAAAAATGTCATATTTTAGGTTTATTGTAAAAAAACAAAGATAAACTGGCATTCATTATTTCTGCATAAACACATTTCTGAGATAGTTTTTCTGTAAGTTTTTAATTTTTTTTCTGTTTTTATAAGGGAAATTTCATCTCAGGAATATAAAATAACTCCACAAAAGCACCCCAAAAGGAAAAATACTGACCTTGACAAGCCATTGAATAACTCTACACCTAGAAACAAACAAACTGTTGGAGTGCAAGTACTTTGCATAATCTTGTTCTGGCAAAGAAGAAGCCTCCTTCTCTAGATACAGTGCAAAAGCCTCTTCAAACTCTTTGTTTTCATAACTCTTGAGTGAAACAAAGTCACCAACTTCTTCTTCAAAGGTGTTTTCAGAATTTGAAAGCCACACCTCATCACAGAGCAAATTATCCATGCATTCACAAACCATGAACTGAAAGCTAAGAACACTGACAGTAGTGTGTGTGATCACCCTTTTGAACAGCACAGATAACTCTAAGCTAGTGCTTGAATGGAGAGCTAGAAGGATCCAAAATCACAGTAAAACAATGAAAAATTTAAAGCACCTATGCTGTAAATCTAAGTTGATCTTGACAAAAGATGTCAGATGTTGTTTTGTGATGAAAGAGTAAAAAGAACACAAGAAGGGTTGTTTTTGTTGTGATTTATGATTGGAGTGGAACAACATGAAGGTTCTCTCAAAGGGTAAAACATGGTACTTGGAAAGTGAAAGTGAAGTTGTGTGATAGATAATATTACTATATATGAATGGTGGTGGGATTGAAGTTACAGTATAATACATTACTATTTATATATATGAAGATTGAAGATGATGATGGGGTAGTTAGGGATGGTACCAAATGGCAAGGAGAAGTTAAAGAGGGAAATAAAAAGAAGGACACATCCCTTATGAAATGGGGTAAATGCAAGAGTGAGTTTCTTGTCAATTTGTCACCCTAACCCTAATAGCGGGCGTGATTGATTGCACGAGGATGATGTTGTCCTTATGCATGTGCATGTGAGCATAAATGTTCATTTCTCTCTCCTGCATACTCTATATACAGTAAATGAATTACTGCTAAGTACTCTGATTTTGTTTTTGTTTAATTTCTATAAATATATATTTTTTATGAAAATCTTCATTTACAGGCTTGAGGTTTGTTTTGTGAATTAGATTTCATTTAATATCGCTGAATAAACAAACAGACATACTTGATTTTTTTTTGGGTTCTCATTCTTGAAAATAGTTTATTTTAATTTATATTTATAATGTTTTTAATCTCTTTTTGCTCATTGAGGCTCCTCTATAAAACAATAATAATGTATAAAAATTAAAACATATTAAAATAGTATTAGTAAGCACTAGAATAAATTATTTTAAATATAAAAATGGCAAGGACTAAATGAATAATTATATCAAGTAACTAATTGATTCCTATGGACAACATTCAATGGGTCCTATGAAAAAATGAAAAGCAATGTTATTAGTTTGTGGGTGTACATATATAGGTATTGCTACTGTCTTTATTTCACTTTAATACTTAAAATGTGTTTAGTTATTATATATGCCTTATACGTACTAAACCTTAAATTATTTTTTGGATTTTTATACTTTTTGATATTGTATTATTTATTTGTAAGTATATTGAAAAAAATATATGGTTTTTTTGAAAAAAATATTTACGATGCCATAAATATATAAGTGATGAGATCCTTTGATGTTTCTTTATGAATTTACAATTAAAAGACACTACCGACAATTTCTTAATTTACTACTAAAAGACATTATCAGACAAAGTTTATTTTTATGAGTAAACATAGTTTTCTTATAGTTTTAGAAAAACTTTTATTTATGAAAATAACACTAATTGAAAATGTGTAGAAATGACCTTATTTTACATCAATTTTATTTTAAAAAAATAAATGCAAAAAAATATTTGATGAAATACGAAAGAGTTGGAGTTTTTAAGAACAATGTTTTGCATCAAATAGTATTTTTCTTTACAATTTAAAAAATACTTGAGTAAGCAAGGATTTAGGATGTCTATGTCCATTAAATACCAATATATATTATTCACAATGAAGTTCAATGTTTACAACTGTTTGCATAATTTTCAGTTTATTTTGATTTTTCATATCACTAAAATTCATTAATTCTCTTGTGACTCACCAATTTGTGCAAAAGTCAATATAAATCTTTTCTCATGCTTTCTTTCGGCACCTTATTATTTCTTTTTACACCTAAATTTAGAAATATATTTTGAATTGTACTATTAATAATTAGAAAATATATTTAAATTTGTGCAATCCAAAAAAAAAATTTAATTATATAATCATAAATTAATTTTCAGATCTGAACATATATTTTAAATTTTACACTCTAAAATAAATTTATAAATTATACGTTTAATACCTTTTCAGATCCAACTATATATTTTAGATTATGCAATCTTAAATATATTTTTTTATTATAAAATGTATTATTTTCAGATCCAAAAATATATTTTAAATTATACACTCTCAACTTTAGCTTTTCCAACATTTCCGTGAAAATGCATGAAGAAATATTATGGGTGAAGGAAGGAAGAACCTTCATTTTCGACCATCTTTTTACAATCAAACTCAGCCAAACCCTTTCTTAACATGCTCTTGCTAACACATTCTATCATTGATTACAATTTATTCAAAACTATAAAATCGAAAGAGAAACCTAGAGAAGATAACCAACCAAAATTTGTAATTTCCAATAGAAGATAAAGTATTCAAAAGAGCCTTGATAGTATTTTCCAACCTAGAGTAACCTTGCCCACTGGATAATCAAGTTGAGAGTCCAAGTTGCTGATTTACAGCAGTACACACATATTTCAGTAAACTCATCATCATAACAACATCTGCAAAGCATTATCTACAATGTGTGCTTGCATTCTCGTTCAATACCGTTCAACACATGTTGAACATGAATTCAATGTAAGATTCACATTCAACATGCACCAGGAAGCTCAATTTGTGTAAAACAAGCATACCACACATATTGTACAATGGTTTCAAACTCCAAAATTCCAGTTAGTCATGTAATCAACCCTGAAGTCACTGGTGTGATCACAACATAAAATGGAGTCTCGAATTTTCGACAGGTTGCCACTCATACAATACTAACAATTAGATGATGAATCTTGACATAACATAAACTCACAATCTATTGTAATTCGTACGATGAAAAACTGAAACCTGATCTTCCATCATTGGTGGATTTCAACTCGAGCTTCTGGTAAGGGCTGCAAAGGGTCCGAGAGTTTCATGTCAAAAACTATCTAAGGATAGAATAAAAATATGAGAGGTGATAAAAAATTGCAATTGATATATGACAGGCACATGCATAAGACTAACAAGTTTGTTTAAGTTCAGGTTGAAAAACTGAGAAGAGAAAAGCACCTGCTATTGGGATCATAATAGAATCCACTGATAGAGCCATCACTGCAAGAGAAACAAATGTAGTAAAATCCGGCTATAGTTAATCCACAATCAGTTCCAACATTCACAAAGTACTGTTCCTTCCATCTCTGCAACAAATAATTTAGTGTGCAATATGTAAAGGTTCTCATTTCAGATAAATAACTTTCTCAACATTATCATGTTCTGTTGGTGAAAATCAATCTACCATGAATATGTAAGGGTAATTGCTCAGATCCAAAGACTTGCCACCATCAGCCTCCACTTGACCCTAGAAAGTTAAAGTGCATAAGAAACAATGCATGTGATGCATCTTATAGGTTTTCCAAAACCTAAATTGTTACCAGTAAAGGAGAAAACGATGGAAATTTAGACCAGTGTCTTATATCATCTTCCGGTCTGAAAAAAATATAACAGAATAAAAAAAACAACAAACATAAGTTAACCAAAACAGAGTATATGTCCACACTAATGCATGGACAGCATTAGTACTGTCAAAATTAAGCTCCATGCTTGGTTTAAGAATTGATTGCACAATAACATACGTTGCCTCCCATTTGCCAGTGAAGAAAGTATAATTCTTTGTGTCAACAATCTCTCCTTCCCAAAATGTTACTACCTGATATAAATCATTAAAAGATAAAGTGAATGCCAGATGATTTTTCTTTCTTTCTAAAAAATGCCTCTAAGAAAAGGCAACATAGATATGTAATGAAAAAGCTGAAAAGTGAAAAATTGGTTGATTTACATAATATAGATACCATTCAAGAGTATTTTAGAAAAGGAAAAAGTATATAGCTAATGTATTCTTGACGAGAACATTGATGAGAAAGAAGTCATTCAAAGGGGAGTCACCACAAGTGCTAGAGCCAAAGTTCCCGAGAAGAAAATAAATTCTAGAAAAAAATGACACATGCAATGGAAAGGTCACAAGAGATACTACAAATACAAAGAACCCCTAGAGCGTTTAGTATGAGCTCATGAAACCTGGTTAAATGACTAGAATGAAAAATTATACTTTGTCTTCTAAAAATGTGACATTCAATGTTTAGTATCTTTATAAAATAAGCACATTGTTTGGTTCTAAGGATTAGCAGAGAGTTATCTTAGGGTAAGAGAGTATTAATAAGAATAATTCTTTTAGAGTGTTTGGTTGCAAACATAGCATAGCTTAGCAATCAAACACAAGTAATTTCTCATGTAGACCACATATTACACTTTAATTCATGTCGTCTCCTATTATAAAAGGAGGCTTACACCTTTGTACAATTCATTTATACATTATGTGAAAATCTAGAGCATTTTGGAGAGGTTACAGATCTATCTCATTCAAATCTTATCTTGGTTTTTTTACATTCAAGTGGTGATTCTCCATTGCACTTATCCTGAAACCTGTTTCAAATAGTGTGTTCTTCATTTCATCTTTTACATTTCCTTTCTTTAATTCCTTATTATTTTGTTTCATTTTCACAAGATTTAAACATCATATCCAGGGTTTCTTTTATCAAATGGCCAAAACATGCATTGTTCTAAAATGGGTATGAAAATCATTTCATGATCCACATATTTTGGAGTTTCTATATTGACTAGACATATGGTCAAATATATAGCATATTTAAGTCTAAGTTAACTTCACAAAAATGATGAGGATCAAGAAGGTAGTATTGTGCCAGAAGAAACAATAGTCCAAGAGACAACCAGAAAGCCCCAAGATCAGAGATAGCAAAATGGAATGTTGAGCTAGCAAAATTAGTTACCAAAACAGTGATTAACGTTTAACACAATGAATAATTCAAATTAAGGTACCAAAATTTAAAACATGCATATTTTCGAAAAGGAGAAAAATGGTTGCTTTTCTGTTTCATTTTTAAGAGAGACAATAAAGAAATTGCTTACTGGTGTATCTGCCATAGGAACATTAAGGGCTTCCATGGTGCCACACAAATACCCATGCTCTAGGTCACATCCTTGTATACGGACATTTACTCTCCATGCTTCATCCTTTTGTACACTCGAAACATTCTGGGTGCCAGAAAAGGCCTGTAAATTAAAACACCTTGAGTATATGCTATAACTGTGAAGTCTGAACTTCTAGTAAGATATACTGGCTGAAAGACAGAGATGCGAAAACTAATTGAGCTGAAAGTTGAAGCTGTGTTTTCTATGATTTCCTTTGTTCCAGTCACGGACAGTAAATGTTCTTTTTATAGAGTTGGTTTGAGATTCATTGAAAAAATATTTATCTATATAACTGCAAAAAGGTTAATGAAGTATAATAAAGCATAAAACATTTTCATCTTTTATATTTTGAGTTTATAAGAATTTGGATATGAGAACAAAAATTATATGATCTTTTTCATTTATGCAAATGTTGAGTCTACCTAATAGATTCAGATAGGTAGAATAACCAAATGCACAAACAAACATATACCATTACCATTGACATTCAATTCAATTTCAACCAGATTTACAGATAAATTCCATCTGGTATGGTAGTTGCTACATTCAAATTAACTCTATGATTAGCACCAATACCCAAATGATTATTCCAACAAATAAATTATATATAAAAAAGAATTCAAATTTTTTTTTGTCTTAGTCTCCAAATATTCTATATTCTTTCAGACAAAGAGTCGCAATTTCCAAATCCCAAACCTAAGAACTATTTTTCAACCAAATTTTTAAAGGGAAGTATGACTACCTGTCCCACGCCTAGGAGACTACAAGATTGGCTTGAACTCCTTCCCGAATTTGCACCTAACACAACATAATCAAACCAAAACTGAGATCACATAGTCAACATCATCATTACCGCAGCAACAAAAACTACACTAATAATACAACAAAGAACATTTTTTTGCCCCAAAAAATAAAAAAAAATTATAAATTCACATGACAAAAAACAGATTACAGCAAGATAAGAAAATTTGTGGTTATTGTGTTACCTGAAACCTGAGAAGGCGCGGTGTTCTCCAGTACTCTGACAGGCATGTTTGTTGGATGCAGAGATTGCTGAGTGTGCGAATGCGATCAACTTTATTTTTTTTTTTCTCATCTAGAATGAAGTAAGAAAATGTTAGGCCCATGTTAACATTGAATCGTCTATGGGGTTATTTGTTTTTAAAACATAAAAAATATGTATCTTTATTTTTAAAGGAGATAGATATGACATTTATACTTGTATACAAAGAAATTCTCTTTTTCTGTAATCACAGTTTTTTTTCTCAAGTTATTATTTTTAATTAAATAAATAAAAATTATTTATTAAATAAAGAAAAATTATTTACAAAATAAATACAAAATATTTATAATTAAATTATAAAAATTATGTATATTTATTTTTATAATTATAATTTTATTATTTTTTGTTATAAAAAAAATAAACACATGTGCATTTGGTTTTACAAGTTTTATTTTAAAGAGAGGATATAACTTTTTCTTACCAAAGTTATCTTAATAAAATATTAATTATACGTATTATTTTATACATAAATTATATTTAAAAAATAAAAGTATTTATGATTATATAGTTTTTTAAAAATATTAAATTAAATTAATTACAAAATGTAACCCCTAATAAAATCACTAAATAAAATATTATAAAGTTTGATAATATAAGACACGTGTGCTATAATAACATAAAATATATATATATATATATATATATATCAATTAAAAACTATAAGAGTGGTTAAGGAACTCCCCTCCACCAAAGTTATATCAATACCTAACTCATTATTCACTCACACTAAAAGGTGATGCAAAAGAACAATAAAACATAAAAGAAAAGAAAACAAAGTAAATAAAGACATAAGACAATTAAATCACATCATATATCAACCAAATATTTATGAAATACAATAAATTATATACACACTCATAAAAAGTTAACATTAGACTCAACTATCCTATACATTATAAACTTAGAGTTATCAACCTATTACTCACAAGGTTAGTCCCCTTTACGTTTGTGACCAAATAGTCCAACGGCTAGGACCTCCTTCCATTCTCTTTCCCATTATTATTCTTTGTATGAGTTGAATGATTAGTAAAATATCAAGATACTTCCTTTCATATGACTATGCATACACTAAACATCATCACCAGCCAGAGATTTCTCCTTGAAATCCTCTTAACATTTTCAAATGTATTCATGACAAAATTCTCATTACCGCACACTCAATTATCATGCTTTCAAACTTACTTAAAAACGATATAAATCAATGTCAAAAAACCAAGAAGAAAGATAAATCAATCATACATATTGACGCTCAAAGGTGGCACACAATGCTAGACTTCTCATAAAAGGTGGCATTCAGCGCCAATCTTAATGCTTAACACTATTTTTCTCGCAAAAAGTCACCCTCAACAACACCCATATGTCGTTGAGCATCCTCAATATAAATTTCTCTAGAGCTAAAGTGAGAGATGACGCTCAACGGTGCCCTGCTACCGCTCACCGCCAAAGCATTAGTAAAATTAGGCATTCAACCGTCTAAAGCTATATTGCTTCTAAACTTACACAATTAAGCTTACGCTCAATGCCCAACTAGTACTGCCCAATGCTATATCAGTTTACAACAAACTCAAAATTTTTATTAAAGTGAACTTGGACCTGATAAATTGCTCAAGTTGGTATTCTTTTTTTAGAGAGTTGGTTCAACACGGTTTTTATATATTAAAAATTATACTAATTTGCGCTCAATTGTTCAGCTCTTTAGTTCTTTAGTCACAATAGTCCAAATAACAATAAAACTCAATTAAATTCAGGCATAAACACTAATAAGATTCAATCAACATACCAACAACTCAGATTTATAAAACTCACAAAACACTAAAACAAATGGTTTCCCTTATTTGAAAGACAACCAAACAACTTGATGACCCTTAAAACACCCTTAAGCAACAAACTAAGCTACATCCAGTTCTTTCTTAAGCACTCTTAAGAGATTCCACTAATATTTCAAAAGATTACAAGGAGTTTAACCACTCTTGGTTTTACAACTAACCCATTACTTATATAAGTTTCACTAGTCCTAGTATCTCACTAGTCCAACTAATTAGTATTAGACCATTTAACTTCATTGAGTTAAACAACTAAGTGTTTTAATTCACTTCTGAATATAACACAACAAAGGTGTTTTTACAAAACAAATTTAGATTATAATTCTCGTAGAGAGGATAAGTTTTCAATACAAAGAAATCTGAAGACTTGTAATAAAACTTTTCTTTTTCAAAGAAATTTCTAGACAATGAAAGCTTAAAAGAGAATGACATCGTAAAATTCAAAGCATTATTCTTGTTATCTTCTATTTATGTGATTCACTTTCTTCCGAAAAGATCCATTACTCATATGCATGACTTTTCCTTAAGTAGGTAGCCTTTTGGTATGAAGTCAAATGTTATGTGTTTTTGTAGAGATAACTTGTACGGATGAGTAGAGCATAAAACACTTGAAGAAACATTCTCAGAATGTCTTCCTATCTCTTAACGTTCTTATGATCCAATGTAAAACATTTGAAAAAAGTTTTGTACTTTTGTGATCCACGCAGATAAAGAAAACACAACACAATACACAAAAAAGTACTATTGGTACATACATTTAATACTATAGATGTTATTAATCGTTTAGGAAAAGTACGGTATACTTAATGTTTAAGCCAGTTTTATTTTTAGAATAACGTTGAACATTTAGAATAAAATTCATATATAATTATAACGTTTAGCATATTTATCCTAGATGGTTCATTTTATTATATATTATTTCATTAAATATTATTTTGGTTATGGGGCTGAGTCACCAAACTCCTTCACAATTTGTCCTTCCTCTCTCGTCTTGCTCTATACGTTCCTGGTTCACTATCTGGTCGGTGTGTACCTGTTAAAGATTCTCCGATGCCAAAGTAAGTAATTGAACCATTCAATTATCCAATATAATAGTGACAGTAATTAATGCACAGTAAATGCGTCCACCTACATGTTACCTTTCACTTACATTTATAGTTTTCTAGTGTGGGTTTAGGATTAACAATGTTTTAATCTCGGCCCAATTATGATCTGGTAGGCTTAGTTTGTGATCTGTCTTAATCTCTTTAATCAATATTCGTGTGCGCTTATAAGATTGGTCATCCATACGATCGTGATTTATGTAGACCGTTCGATCATACGATACATTTATTAAACTTCAAAATACAAATTGTTAAGAAATCTTGTCTTATTAGACAATAAAGGTTGGAGCTGAGGTTGTTGATAGAAAAGCTATTATGCTGGAGCCAGGGATGAGGAAGAGGCTGACGAGGTTGAGAGGATAGGATTAAAGGGTATTTTAGGGATTGAGGGTTTTGTGGGGGTGCAAGAAGAAAAAGAGAGATATAGCCTAGTAAATAAAACTAATAAAACCAGAAGCACTACAGTTAGAAGAAGAAAAAGTTACAAATCGCATGTTGTTAGTATCTAATGTAGTAAATTGCATCCCACAAAATTGGAATAGAATAAAAAAAAAAGAAAAAGAAAACTTAATATAATTTGGTAAAGAAAATGAAGTCTAAAAAGAATTTGTAAAGACATTGGTTAAACCCTACAGATGCAGAAACAGGGTTTTGTATAAGAATGGAAGAAAAATGAGTGTTGGAAGAAAGTGAAGAAAAACTGGCATGTGGGCTGTGACGGCAAAACCATTTATCAAATCCCATTTTCTCAAACACACCCTTCCACTTCTTCTCATGGCAAACCAAACATCACTCTCCTTCTCTTCTGGCTCTCCCGTTCACGCGCCTCTGAAGCGCGTGGGCACTCACAATGGAAGTTTTCACTGCGACGAGGCCCTTGGCTGCTTCATGATTCGCCTCACTCAAAAATTTAAACAACGCCGAAATCGTTCGCACCCGAGACCCTCCAGGTTTGGTTCATCTCTCATCTCTCATCTTTTTTAGTTTTTTTTTTTTTGCTTGATTGCTGAGGAAATATGATGTATTTTTGTATGGTTGATGGTCAAGTGTGATATTTTTGGGGTTTGGCTGGTAGAAATATTTTTTTTGGTTTGGTCTTGGGAAATATGACTTTTTATTTTCTTTTGGTTGATTAGAAAAAAATTGTTTTCTGGATGGGGTCTGATAATGAAAAACCAAAAAATTTATCTGTTTGGTTGCTGAGATATCCGCTTGGAAAGTACATAGTAATTAGGAAAACGCACCCTCAAAAGCTAGCTATTATGGGAGAACAACCAAACATTTACATACTCTATCGAACCTGGTACCTTGTGGGATTTAAGCAAATTTACGTACTAAAAAGTAAAGCCAAATCGAAAATTTTCACCGATTGTTGAAAATGTGGGAATGTAAAATAAGTTAATAATGAAGCAGGAGACCATATAGTAATTTCACTTGTTTCAGTTTTGTGATTTCCTTAACGGTTTGCGTGTTTAGTTGCTTAGAAAATGTGGACAAGGGTGTTTCCTTTTGAGTTGCCGGCATTTTGGTTTGTTGAGGGAGTTTTCTTTATATTGTCATTGAATCATGAATGGGAGGGGCAGTGGAAATTTTGTTGGGAAGTTGTCTTAAGCTTTTTATTGTTGCTGCCGTTGGTTTTTGTTAGAGTTATTGGTTATTGTGTTTAAGTGTGTGAGCTGTGAGTTGTATGTGCTGTATCTGAGTGTGGGAGGTGTGTTCCATTCACTTAATCCTATAAATATAGGATTAAGGAGAAGGTGTATACAACCAAGGATTCAATATATTCCATTTTCACAGTTTTTTTATGTTGCCCTGTGTTTAGGGTAGACTTTAGCGAATGAATGGAGTGGAAGTTTGTGGTGTAATATCTGTTTTAAGTTTTTTTTCATAAATTGAGCTTTGGATCTATAGGTTTTGGAGGGTCTTGATGCTGTTCTTGATGTTGGGGGAGTCTATGACCCTGCCCGAGATCGGTATGATCATCATCAGAAGGGTTTTGAAGAAGTTTTTGGGCATGGTTTCTCCACTAAATTGAGCAGTGCTGGTCTTGTTTATAAGGTAAAATTCTCATCTAAACCACCTATTTTTGTTATGGCTTTATTATAACTTCTTGCTTATGTCATTTACCTCGATTGCACAGTGGTGAATTCCTCTGTTTTGTATAATGTTAAATTGTTTGTGGGAAATTTTATTCTAAATGTGAATACTATATTCCTTGATAATTATATTTAGATTGTGTTTTCTGTCTAGCATTTTGGAAAGGAGATTATAGCAAAAGAACTGAAGGTAGATGAGGTACACCAAGACGTCCATCATATATATTTGGCGGTTTACAAGAGCTTCATGGAGGTAATATATTTTTGAATATTTTTCCTGTCTTCCTGTCTCCATGCATACTTTGGATGAACTTGTTTGATTTAATTATTTTATGTACTTATTTTTAATTATTATGTTTTTATAATTGAGCAAAATCTGGGTTGAGGAGATTGAGGAGAGTGTTTATCAAGAAAATAGATGCTGAGAGGAGTCAAGCATCCTAATAGATTCTTTTTAATAGAATAGGAACTAACAGGAGGGGAACAATTATTGAACAGACTCCACTGGATTAGGGAAACTCAGTGGAGAGAAATAGGGCTTGAGGGATTTGAGAGCCGAAATAAATAGCCAACTAACTCCCTTTACAATCTGTCTATATGTCTATCAACCTAAGTAGTTAACTGGATTTGATAGGGGACAAGCTGATCCACTTGATTCCTTGGGTCCATTCTTGTTTATCCTGGTGTAAACATTTCTAATTGCGGGTCAAGTAATCAAGCATTCTTTATTTTTGTTAGGACATGGAGAGTCTATGAGAGGAGGAAGGGGAAACAGAACACTTAACTACTTAACTGCTATTCAGTTAAGTGAGGGGGCTGGAAATGGGCCTATATATTAGGACCCTTAGTGTTTCAGTTAGTTGTTGAGTAGTGTTAGAATTATTGAATGATTAGTGTGAGCTGTGTGTGTGCTGTCAAGTATGAGCTGTGTGTGTGTGAGTTGTGTTCCAACCAAAGTGAGTTGGAAAGGAAATGGGTAGTTACTTTCTTTCCCCTATAAATGTAATGCTAATGTATGAGGAGTAGTAAGCCCTCTCATTCAATAATATGTTTTTATGATTTCTGTGTTCATTCAATATGGTATCAGAGCTGGTCGATCCCGCTCTATTTTTTTTTTCCTTTCTCAGTTGAGCTATCAGATATAGCTCCACCATTATCACTCACCATCTACCATAATCATATATAACCTCTTTTTCTTTTTCAAACTTTATGCACGGTTTGGCACACCCATCACCACATATTGCCACCTTCCGCCGCTGCCCGTCCGCCGTACGCAGCCGTCCGCCGCCGTCGGTCAACCCAGTTTCGTCCGGCGACCAGCAGATCTGGAGCGCCTCTCCGAGCGACAGATAACCCCGCCGGAATAAGTCCAAGAATCCTCTCCACGCGCCTCCACGCGCCACCTTTCTCGAACTGAGCTTGGGCGCGTACTGTTCACGTGCCGTCATTCCGACGTCAGAATCACTTCGTGTTGCTTCCGGTCGACTCGCCGGACCTTCCTCTCTCTGTTTTGTCCGTCCATAGCAGCCATTGCAGCAACTCTATGAATGGTCTCATCTTGTGAGCTCTTGAGCTGGTTAAGTAAGGATTTTGTCGCTGCTGCCTCAATAAACTGCCGCTTTTTTTCTTAGAGTTCAGATTCATAGACACCGTGCAATGGCAACTGGCAACATTATCTCATTGTCAGGAAGTCCCCATATCACTTCGGAAAAACTGAATGGGAAAAATTATTTATCTTGGTCCGCTGCTGTTGAAATGTGGTTTCTTGGCCACGGATGTTATGATCATCTTGAGCAAGATGGAACACACGTACCCGCTGAAAAAGCAGATCAATGGAAACAAGCAGATTTCCAACTGTGTACTTTGTTGTGGCAATCCGTAGAACCACAAATCTTCATATCCCTTAGAGCTTTAAAGACATGTAACTCTTTTTGGAAGAAAGCTCAAAGCATTTATGCCAATGACATTCAACGTCTGTATGACACGGCGAATAAACTTGCATCCCTTAAAATGGTGAATCATGATATGGTATCTTTTATGGCTGAAGCCCAATCAGCTACTGAAGAATTACGAATGTTTTTAGAAGCAGGATCTTCTGAAGATATCAAAACAAGGTTGGACAAGTATTATATGGTAATGATTCTACGAGCTCTGCATCCCGACCTTGCTCATATCTGAGATCAACTTCTAACCAGTCATGAAGTTCCCTCCATGGTATCCTTGACCACACGTCTTCTTTGGGTTTCGATGCCACACCCTCAAGAAACTTTTGGGGCAGTAGAGCAATCTGCCATGATCATCGCACGCGGAAGAGGACGTGATACTAGAGGAGGAGGACGTGGAGGACGTGGAGGTCGAGGGCGAGGTCCGTGCACACATTGCAAAAGGATGGGTCATACCCAAGAGAGTTGCTACTTCTTGCATGGTTTTCCTCCAAAAACCGCTAATATCTCTCAGTCTAACCATTCAGATTCAAAATTTACTGAAGATGAATATCAGGAGTACCTACGGTTAAAATCCAATAGCATGGCACAAACATCTTCATGTACAGCGTGCAATTCTCAATCTCCCAAATATCAAACTTCATGGGTAATTGATTCGGGTGCTTCTGATCATATCTCCGGTAATACCTCTTTGTTCTCAACCCTTTCTTTTCAAGAAAAATCTCATTTAATAACCCTTGCAAATGGTTCAAAGGTCTCATCAAAGGGCATTGGTCATGTCTCTCTGTCTCCATCCTTAAATCTCCAATCTGTTCTATTTGTTCCTAACTGTCCTTTCAATTTGATTTCCTTGAGTCAGTTAACCAAATCATTAAATTGTTCAATAACCTTTGATAACAACTCCTTTGTTATACAGGAGTGTGGGACAGGGAAACGGATTGGAGAAGGATATGAA